ACGCAGCCTAAATGCGTTGCTTGAGGATGTCGAGGGTGGGGATTCGGCCGGTGTAGACCTGTGACTTGATGAACCTCCATACAAAAAAATCACTGATTGTTAGGCCAGGGGATCGCGGTGGCCATGGCATGCTGGGCCAGCCTCTTCCCATTCAGCGTCCAGGAAAGGTGTGACTTAACCATTTCCTGACGAAGGTCCACCAGTGTGGGGGCGCTCCATCTTGCATGAATACGGAAACTTGTCGTTTCATGTGGAGGGCCTCGAGCTCGGGAAGAAATTCCACCTTCAAGGTGCGCAGATAACTTCTGCCCGTCACAGACTCATGGAAAAAAAAAGGACCAACAATACCCTCCCTCAAGATCCCGCACCAGACAGTTACATTGGGAGAGTACTGAGACTTCTCCATTGTCCAGTGTGGTGGCCGTTGCTCCAGTGCCGGCAGTTCTGAGCGTTGACTTTTCCGTCGAGGTGGAAGACGGCCTCCTCCGAGAACAGAAAGAAGTACAGATGGGAGGTGTTGGCTGCGATCCTTAGGATGTCTTCGCGGCAAAAATCGAGCCGTCCTTCATAGTCTTCAGGCTTCAGCTCGTGGAGAACGTGAACCTTCTAGGCATGCAAGTTGTGTCGGCGAAGAATCCGGCGTACAGTGTAATCTGAAACTCCAAAAAAATTCGCCGCTCTCTTCGTGGACAGGTGCGGGTCCGCTTCGAAAGCACCCATGATCCAGTACGCGAGCTGCTCTTTCTCTGGCGTGCTGGCGAAGACGTGCTTCTTGTACGCGACGCTGCCCACTGCGCCAAAACGCTGGATTCACTTCCAGATGATTGTCTTTGACGGCGGCCTAGAACAGTGCACTCGACGGTATCGGCGGCGAGCTTCCTTAAAGCTTCTGCGCTTTAAATACCAAACCACGACGTCTGCGCGTTGCTTTTGATTTAATTGCCTCATCAGGCAGGAAAGTGCAGCAAAACACGGTAGAGATTAAAAGTAATCAACGGGGGAACCGGTGTTCGGGTTTGCGAAGAGCAAAGTAGACGACATCTGCTAAAATAATTAGCATGAAGAAATGTTATGCCTGAGGAAATGCACCGAAGTATCACGAATGAGAGCGTGTAATATTTATTTTCGTTGCAGTGAAAAGCATGTGCGTAAGGGAAACTTCAGTAATAATAAAGAACAATTCCGAATTTGCCGCCTAGCCCGGCAGATGCCCGTGATAACCCGCCAACCCGCATAGGTGGTGGCGCCACCTATGCGATGCAACGCAAAGCAGACGGCCTCCGTCTACGTCTTTCCGTGGTCGGAGCCTCCCCGTAGAGATTTCTCGTTTTTTTATTTTATCTTTTGATCCAGGCAAGCTCGTTTTCCGAAACTTTGGCATCTTGCTTGGACCGCTAGGGTTACATTCTGGCGAAGTTTGAGCGTTATGCGATGCGTAGTTTTTTTACGCGGGCCAAAAAGTAGGGTTTACTTTTCTCGATCGGACCCTGTACATTCTCAACAAATGATATTACGAATCATTTACCTAGCCTACGCAAAACAATGCAATTACAACAACCAGTTGAGCCACGAGCCCCATCACAACAAAGTGAATTTATCAACAAAAACCTACAAACGTCCACACACGTTTTTTTTTTCCAAAAAAAAAAAGGATCACTTTGATTCACAATTCAACGGTCCCTACGAAGTAATTCGTCTAAACACGAAAACCTTTAAATTGAAAATTTATGGACAACAGGTGGTTATAAGCGCACATCGCCTGAAACATGCACTCATCGATATGACTTGGACTGCATGTTCTGCCAGGATTGTAAAGCATGTGGAGTGGGCAACCCAATCAATGCTTATGAGAGTTCTCCACATATTACTCGCCCAGGTCATTTTGTGATGGTGAATTCCGCTCGCAGATCTCGAACTCCCTAAAAGCGCTCAATTCGGAGAGCGCCTATTCCGCTCGTTGATCGTGCGAGTTGGTCATCTTCCCTTCGTAGATCTCTGGCAACGCTTGCCCAGTGGAGCGCCCCAAATTGTGCCACAACCGCTCCGTGGAATTCTGAAGATCTTAGCGGAAGTTGACAAAAGCGCATACGCCATTTCCTTGAACTCGGCAGTGCGCATGCGCGGCGTGGTTTGCGAGGTCGCCGGACCGGTCGGGCCGTCGAGTTCGTCTGTTCTGGTGCGTCGGTTGTTTAGGCAGGATAGTGACGTCTCGAACGCTTCTACCTCGCGTGAATAAGGGATTCAAAGCCGGGACTGAAGCGTGGTAAATTGTAGGTGCTGACATCTGCGATCGTGAGAGGAAGAACGAGAAAAAGAATGACAGAAAAATTGGAGGCAAACGCAAGGTTAGGTTTTTTCATTTAGCAGACAATGATTGTTTACCTTTTTACACTGCATGCAGCCGGCGTTTTCTCGTGCAATAAAGCAAGAACAGATACGCAAACGACCGTGCAAGTAATGACTTGTTATTTCTTGGTGTATAGTAAAGTCTTACCAGCAATCTGAACCCCACCAGTGGTGATCACTGTGCGTTCCCCGCCGTTTCAAGGCGGCGGAAAGGTATGTGTCGGTGGCGAATGAGGATGTCTTCCTCGTTATTTTTGACACGGGCTCCATGGTACGGACATTTTCGCCCGGCCTGTGTCATGTGGTATTTCTGTAGCTAAACAGTGACAGTTCTGACTGGTCGTTGGAAAGCTCAATCGGCTGAGGCGTTGGTCGGCTTGTCAAGTCCGAGCAGCGGCCATTTTGAATGGCCGACTGTCTTAAGCGAATCGGTGGGTCCCTCTAAAAATGGGAGTTCATCTTCCGCTCGTCGATTCGGGGCGGGTCCGACGGAGCGGACGTTTGCTTCCTTCGCGGATTTCGGAAAGCGCTCCGGATCTACCTTGGAATTCGCCATATAAAAGTTGAGCCTGTAGGGGATCCCTATTGCGAAGATGCTGAAGAATCCGAGGTGACGGACACGAGCCGGCTCTGTTTGCACTGGTCGTTCTCAATGCCGGTCTTTGTATAAAGCGGATATTTTAATTTCAAGTCTGGAAACTCGGATACGGGTATTGAAAATTGCTATACAAGTACATTTTGTCTCGGTGTCAAAAATGGTTACATCGACGTATACTGTACTTAAAAAAAGTAAGAGAAAAAATGTATCAATCTACTTGCCGAATAAAAAAAAAAGACGAGATTTTGAAATGTTTTAGCAACCATTGCCTAGATAAACTCGGGTTTTCACTTCCTAACGGATGTGAGATAAACTTTTTGAGCCCCAAAATATGAAAGGTAGTACTCTGAAAAGCAGTCTCATGCAGTGTCAATTTACAGCGAAGACTTCTCCAGTGAGCCACAGTTCTATGTGAGGTCGTACGGCTTTCTTAAGCCATGGTCCTAACTTAAATGCCGCTAGGTTAGCGTGATCGTTCCCTTATGTAGCGGTGACGCTACTGTTTCTTTTTGCTAATGCCTTGCTTTGCTTATATATAGGGTGCTTCATCGAAGATTTTGAAAGCTTCGAAAGAAAAGAAACTTCTTTGTAACAAAATGCCGGCTACCGCGGACCTAAGAAATTTCAAAAGAAAATTAATCGTTTGAATAATTCACTAATTTTTACTTCATAACGTTTTAATATGTTATCGTAAACATACATCTAATATAGATTTAATGGGCACCATTGAAAACCATTAAATCAGTCAAATGTAGCAGGATTCCAGGTGCGTGCTTCGTTGTTCTGGGTCAAAACAATTTACCCAACATTGAAGCGATCCGAGAGTTTTTTCGTTTCTTATCATGCGACTTTTTTCACCGCCAACCATGCGCCTGGAGCACACGTGGTAACTTTAGTGCACCACCGCGCTTGCCATGCACTACGATCGAGTCGCAATAAAATAACTAATTTTTTTCGTTTTTCATGAAGCTCTGCAGCAACAAAAGGAACCAGTCCTGCCAACTCACCAAATAATGATCCCGCACTCAGAATTAAGAAAACAAACGCTAAAACTCTAAATTTCATGTGTGGGAAGAATGACATTTTAATACCTTTTATTGTCTGTCAAAACTTACCCATAAAAAGAAGCTCTCCCTGGTGACTGAGACTTTCTCCATGCACAGAGAAATATCGATTGCTTCGTTTTGATATTACTTTGGATCCAGGTTGCTTCCATACCCTCGTACGAGCACGTCGATTATTTCAATCTGCTGTACAACATTTAGTGGCAGTTCAAGGCTTTGCTAACCATAGTACAACGATTTTTAGAAACATCTTTTTTTATAGTATAGTAAAATTTTACTGTCTGACGTTGAACTTACAGTATCATCTCAAAGTTTAGAATCGTATAGCCGTCTTTTTCACATTTGGGCATATTTCACTAGGTAAATCTTACTTTGAAGGCCTAAAAAATGCCCGCAGACGGCAACGCACAAATTCGATAAAGCATGTTCCAAAGTTCGCCGCCGTCAGAGTCCAGTGGCGTCGACTGCTGCTCAAACTGACCCGCAAGTTTTATAGCGTAAGGAATGAAACCATGAAATAAAGTTTCCCCGTAACTTAAGTTATTTATGAATCTTACATAAAATTTATCAAAGATTTCACACAGCCAGAAAATACACTAGCATTAATCAAAAGCCGATAAATAATCCGCCAACCGGAAAATGGTCATTTCTCCCGCTAGACACCACTATAATAACCGCAACACTTAGTGGGATCGAAACACGCGGCACACTCTGAAATTACAACCTGAGGCGTGCAGATTTCTCATCGTTTTTGTTAATTTTTTTTTATTCGCGTGGCTTTCCATCACGCTTCAATTTGTAAAATCATTTTGGAATCTAAAATTTAACCGCACAACATTGATTTTTTGTTCGCTGCGGCTGCCCAACACCTTTCACTGAATCACCTTTTATGTTCGCATTTACCGACTCTCCATGTGCTCTTCGAAGGAGTACCTGCATCTTCATTTCCGATGTAAAAAGATTATTGTTTTAATAGATTTAAGGTTCTGTACCGTGCAGGCGTCTTTCTTGCCTTCCTTGTGTCCGGCACAAAGCTGCTCCCTGGCTACGCGGATGGACTTGTCTGCCTCGCTGTACAATCCGTTGCACTGGATGTTGCTCATGATCCTCACGTCCACTTTCTGCAGCACGTCCGTCATGTACGAACTGAGCCTATCGTCTCCAAACGAATCTGAAATGAAAACCAACCCCGGAATTTCAGTTTTATTAGCGGTATCATCAACACACTTAAAGACTTTTGTCAAAGGGTAACCATAAAAACGAGCGCAAGTCTCAAGGGTGCGCAAATACTATATCATTTAGTTAACCGTTATTTCATATATCCTCGAAGCCCTATATCCGTCTTTAACTATATATATATAACATAGTTCGCGGATTACCCTTCATTGTAATAAAAGCTTGCTTTGTTGAACATAAAAGCGTAAGATTTCTCACCAGCTTTAACAAAACACGCGTTAAAAAGATTAATCGATGCAAAAATATCAAACGATCACTGTAGAAATTTTCGTAACGTGTATATAATAGCTAATTTTATGGTTTCTGCAAGTGTCCTATTACCTTCATTATGGGAATCCTAAATATTCGTTATTTGTGATGCAATAAAAGTAGTGATAAAGCCCACTTAGTTCGACGTCAGGCTGACTGCAACACACTTATTCTTTTCCCCTTTAATTTTTCAATTCGCACAGAACGATAGTAAAAATAATAGTTGTCTTATGTAAGATATGAGGAAGTTTCAACAACGTTTTTTCTTTCATCAAGCCCATAGATCTAAAAGCAAGCAGGGCAAACAAACTGTTCTAGACAAACTCTCTCATTAAAACAAAAACACGAACATATATATTAGTTGATGGTTAGCAGAGTTTGGATTCATACGCCGCCTTACTACAGAGTAAAGTATAACCTCAGCAACGTTATTGCCTCTATTTTCATTAAAACAAAACATCCATGCGGTCATTTTGCGTACTGGCTATGTTGGCCGAAGGAATAAGATTTTGAATTTTATAAGTGTTACCAAGCGCGTTTAAGCTCAACCAATATTTTTGATGCGTTTATTGCAATGCTGTTCCAGTGTCTCACTAAAGTACGTAAAAAATAGCATGCCAAAACTTAAGAGGATCTAGGCTAGAAGGAAGGCGAATGTTGTTTATGTTGTACGGGGGTAGGTGGGAAACAAGGGGGAATAACGAGCTTGGTGTCATAACGAAACAAAAATTATACTTAGTTTGCTTAATGTTTTTCGACAAATGTAAAATATTGTTCTTAATTGCCTCCATTTTAAGCCCTCGACAACAACAAAAGTTTTGGAACAAGCCGGCGTAGAGCGCATCAAGTGCGGTCGCAGGAAGATGAAGAACTTAGCCCATTCAAATGGCGCCACCCTTTTATGCAGAGAGCTACCAAGAGGGTCTTCGCACAGTGACCGGGTGCGAATTGCGGAGACTAACGCGTCTAAGCGAAAACAAACAACTGGAGGTGTCGCGGACTTTTATCGAACCTCAGCTTTTAAGTTGAGTCCCCAAATGTTTTCGGCAAAGTTCGACACATCGTAACACGTTACCAAGCTTTTGGGAAATACTTTTTCCCCTCGATATAAATGTTTTGTGTTAAAAAATGTAGTGATGAGATTGCCAAACATATCTAGATGTACTTTTTGACCTGTACATGAACACTTGTTCTGCATTGATTCCACCATTTAGGCGCTACGATATTTTACACAAACATATTTGTTTCGAAATGTATATTTACCTCTCTCTTTCTCTCTCTCTCTCTCTCTCTCTCTCTCTATATATATATATATATATATAGCACACCCGACCGGACATTGGGAGGCCCAGAGTTCTAATCCTGGCTCCGCCATTTTTTGGGTTTCGGCGGGTTCCTGAAAACTTGGATTCTTTAATTCATTGGATTAAGTACGGTTCATTCACCTGCACGATTTCGTATATATATATATATATATATATATATGGTGTCTTTTTTTATTCTTACACATTTGTTTAAAAAAAAACGTGAAAGCTACACTAATGCGGTTTGTGCAGGTGGGTTATAACTTATACGGCCAGGCGGACATTATGTGGGTGGCTAATTTTTGCGATAAGTCGGCTAATTAATTAAAATTTGTTAATCAACTCTTTTTATTAGTGGAAATAGACATATGATTTCAATTAGAAACTTGTAGAGCATCATCGAAAACCACTAAATCAACGATTTTTGGAAAGATATAACGCCGGGGAAGCATTTTACAGCGTTCTGTAAAAACGCTCCATTTGGACGCGTTTCTAGATTTCGGTTTCTTATCGGAGCGCATCACCGCGCCCGCGGTCCTGCTCCCCAGTGGCTGAGACGCGCAACACACGTGCGCCGTACTTCCCTCCATTCTACGAGGGAAGCGAGGAGGTGGCTTCGCGTCGCGACCACCGCGGAGCAGGATCGCGGGCGCGAAGATGCGCTCCGATAAGAAACCGAAATCTGGAAATGCGTCCAAATAGAGCGTTTTTACAGAACGCCCTAAAATGCTGCCCTGGCGTTATATCCTGCTAAAAATAGTTAATTAAAAGTTTTTCGATGATGCTCAGCAATTTTCTAATTGAAGCCATATGTTTATTTTAAGTAATTAAAAAGTTAATTAACGAATTTTAATTAATTAGCCGACTTATCGCATAGATTAGCCACCCACATAATGTCCGCCTGGCCGTATAACCTACCTGCACAAACTGCATTATTGTAGCTTTCACGTTTTTTTTTAAACAAATGTGTAAGAATAAAAAAAACACCCTGTATATATATATATATATATATATATATATATATATATATATATATATATATATAAACCAACGTTACTAAAACACTCAGTTGGGAAACTCGCCGTCAAAGCTTGGGCCGCTGGCGTCCACCGAGACCGAGCTAAATGCGACAACAGCGCCACTCTTTGTCACTTGTCTGTACTGTGGTCACTTTGAGCTTTTTGAAAGCCTGTTTTTGCGTAAAAACAAACGGAAAAGACTTTTTGTATGAAATTTATTGGAGTTTAGTACAAAAAAAGGGGCGCATTATGTTTTTAAAATATTTAGTTTGCAGGGTTTCGCGACACAATTAATATTGTTTTTATACAACCATGCCTCAGCGGCCTTTTCAGGTGGCGCGTCTCGACCTAGGTGCATTTTAACTTTGGTAGGTCGACGCACTGCGTCCGCCGGGGAGACGGGGGTGGCACCCTTGCAACCTCTTCCACTGTATCTGTTCTTAAAGCCAAATTAGAAGTCACGTGCAGTTCCTCGAGGGGCCGCTGCGGGAGAAATGTGGAGTTGTGTTCGTCATTAGCTCGGTGCTCGGAGACAGATTGGGGCCACTTTTTCAAAGCTCTCTCTATGGGAGTTTCCCAACTGAGTGTTTTAGTAACGTTGATATAAACGAACATGTGCAGATGAATGAACCGTACTTAATCCAATGAATCAAAGAATCAAAGTTTTCAGGAACCCGCCGAAAGCCAAAAAACGGCGGAGCCAGGATTTGAACTCTGTGCCTCCCAATGTCCGGTATGGTGTGCTAACCTCTACACCATTTCACCTTGGCTTTCTGGCGTTTCCTACCTGTCTTATTAATGAACAAGAAACGAAATGTATCCAATCGGAGGTGTTCTGGAAACACACGCCGCCGCGTGGAACGCGGTACGACGCTCAGTATATTTATATATACTGGGCGTATATATATATAAATATATACATAAAAGTAGATGCCACCGAAGGGTCAAACAAACTTGGACGATTTAATTGAACATGTATAATTCATACATAAACCGCGACGTTTCGAAGGGGGACCCTTCTTCCTTCCCCCTTCGAAACGTCGCGGTTTATGTATGAATTATACATGTTCAATTAAATCGTCCAAGTTTGTTTGACCCTTCGGTGGCATCTACTTTTATAAAAATACGCCTACAGCCTACTTAGCCCCAAGATGTCAATATATATATATATATATATATATATATATATATATATAGGTGAGGCGGTGTAGTTTGAGCAAAATGGACCGGGAAAATGTAATGAGGCAGAGATCCGTACTTGCAGGGATGCTATGCTAGGAGTTTATTGTATGTATTACGACAGTTTCGCCGAGCGGCTCGGCTTCATCAGGAGTATGGCATGTATGCTCTCTCCTGACGAAGCCGAGCCTCTCGGCGAAACTGTCGTAATATTACCAATTTATATATATATATATATGACGTAATATTTCGAATTTATATGTGGAGCGTAAACAATCAGCTAATATAAACTCCAATCCAGCTAAACTGCCGCTTACCTTGATTTCAAATAAAATAGAAGTCTTTGTAATTTAAGCGTTACGATAAATGAACCAATGACGACTAGGCCACTGTTATAAAGTCGAAGAAGCGATCGAAATGTTCTGTTCACCTTGGTGGCAAGAGGGAAATTTATTTTATTGATATATTGTGAAAGCGAGAAAAACACTTGACAACTTCACCCTAGAACACAAATTCATTACGGAAAGACGATTGGTGGCCGTTGCTTTCGCTAAAAATGTTTCTACTTTGCTTCAAACTTTCTTTAGATTTACTAAGTAACACACATTAAATTCGAATAATTCTCAAGAGCTGTAATTATCGTATAATGCACGGCACTTATTCCAGGCTACGCAAGCCTACACTTTAAAGCAGTGTATTACTTAGGAAGGTTAAGACATTTAAAAAAAGCATATTCAAGAGCACTTTCGGGCAGTTACTGCTTCTCAGTAGCCACACCAACAGATATATGTGACAATAATCAGAAACGACAAATATAGCCCAGGGTTATCGCCGGTCCCATAATATTGAGACATAAACGGAAGCGAACCGGCAACTGCGTAGCAAAACGAGGTCTGGAAAACAGTTCAACTGAAGTTGGGAACGTGTTACATCCTAAAGAAGAAAAAAAATCGCCCCCATGTTATGCTCCATATGCTTGTATTTGTTACATGAAAACTGACGAAAATATATTTCTGATCTACGAGTCGCTCGATATTTGACAAGATCCACAAGAAATTACACCTTTGCACTCTTTCTCAATTATTCAAAGCCTGATTTTATTTGAATTCAGCCAAACATGTCGGGGGATCTTCAATTGTTCTTACTGATGTAATAGTTCTGTGTTTGTTTGTTTGTGTTTTAAC